TTTTTCCCCTTCTTTCCTTTCTTCCCTTTCCGACATTATATGTCCCCCAAATCCTTTCCCCGCTAATCCAAAGGTGACCTTTAAATGATTCTATGCTGCCCTTACTTCCATTCCACAGGCTTACCTTTTTTCCTCTCCACCACTGTCCTCCACGCACAGTGATCTCTAACGCTATCCCTCTGTCACACCCTCACCCAGGCCTCTGCCCTCTGCGTTCTCATATGGATTTTGATATTCCTGTTGGAGGAAATCGTTTCTATTTCACCTCAATTTGTTTTGGGTTAATTTGATCTAAATGCTTTCTCCCTAGTTCCGGGACTACTGTGCTATCTGCTTAAGATGGGAGTGGCCTGGGTCTCCAAAAGCCTTGGAAAAGTGCAATTTAGAAGCCACTTTCTTTGAAGGCCATTTTTTGAAAGTTTTATTTGACAGAATGGGAAGAATTCTTGATCAGGTAATAAAACCACCTGGGTAACACAGAGGCATTCTGACATGTTGTGTTTGTTTTTTCTGTAGATTACATGCATAAACGTTTAGGACTGAGTTATATGCACTTGGACTAAGTGGTGACAACTAGTTTAGTTATAGGTGTTTCCATTGTAGAAGAGCAGGTGGAGGAGGGAGGAGTAAATGGTCAATTTTCCTCTCTTGAAAGACAAAATGGTAAAGTGCGTGCTCCGGGATGGACATGATGAATAACATCAAATGTGTTTTTGTTCTTCACCTCTCCCCAGCCATATGACGTCAATTTACAAGTGACCTCGGTGCTGTCCAGACTGTCTCTCTTCCCTCATCCACACGTGCACGAATACCTTTTGGATCCCTATGTGAACCTTGCTTCTGGCTGTCGGTCTCTCTTCTCTGTCATTGTCAGGGTGAGTGATCAGTTTTGTTATATTTTCTTTAGGATTAATAAACCTGTCCAATTAACAACTTAATATCATTGCATGTAATCAGTGTCACATAGAGGAAAATATATCTACTGTTTAGAAGTAATTATTTCACTATAAAATATGAAGAAAAAAAGGAAAATTCATTTTTTTAAATTATATATATATATAACGTCTCTATTTTAAGGAGTAGATATGAGTCCTCTGTCAAAGATGGTTATGCAAATGGCGAAAGGCGACATTCTTCATTTAGTGAAAGGAAATGGGGTATGTTTTTTATCCTGAAAATCCCTCTGCAGCTGGTTTTAGGAACCGAGTTCCTTTTGTGTCTGTGATGTAGGTCGTCGGAGACCTTATGGTTAGAATCCAGCGTATTCAAGACTTTACTCCCAAGCTTCTACTAGTCAGAAAGCGATTACTTGGTTTGGAACCGGAAGGCCCTATGTAAGTCAGTGTTTCACTTTTTTTTCCCCCACTATAAAAATTCCACCCAAACTGACGGCCTGCTGCTGTCTTGATTGACGTGTTGCCTCTTGTCCGCCCAGGGTGGACCACATCACCTTGCTGGAGGGCGTGATCGTGCTGGAGGAATTCTGCAAGGAGCTGGCGGCCATCGCGTTTGTGAAGTACCACGCTTCCTCCACGCCGTAGGTACCCCTCCCCGGTCACCAAGCGAACAGAACTGCTGTGCACATTTCACCTCATGAAGAGAGGATGAGAAAAGGCCCTTTTCAGTGAAGTATTGCTGCAAACTGCACCGAAGCATTTCGAACCCACCGAGTGGGCAACTTCAGTACTATGTTGTGTAATAGTGTTTTCATTGCTTTTTCGTTAAGGCGCCATACATAGACGTGCACGTCCTTGAATCCGGATACAATCAAAGGAACTTCCGGAAATAAGCATTTCTAATGCCTGTGTGAAACGCTGCACAATTTCTGATGTCATGCCTTTGATGTTTCTGTTATTTTAATATCCTTTTTGGTAGCAAGGCATTTTGACATCCTCTGGGACTCAGATGCTTATATTCTTTTGGATTAATCAGAAGCAAAAAACAACAACAACGAATTTTTATAACTTTTTAAGGTAAGAATTCTTATCAAACAAAATATGAAAAACTGTAAATGAGAAAAAAATACAATTCAGGGACCATCAAATGAGTTGAGTTAATAATAGGAGATAAAAATGTGTAGCAAACCATTAACTTCCTTCAGCTTTTCTAAGAATAACAATTTAATATGATAATAAAATTCTTGATTAATATAATATATATATTTTTAAAGAAATGTTCTTTTACTCTTGTGCACATGGCCATGTAGGTGATTAATGTTTATGTATGGGTCCCAGTTTATTTAAACCGTGTCATTTTGGCAACAATACCGAGTTTGTGCTCACCAGTGGTAGTGCTTGCTAAAATAGTATCTTTTAAAGCTAATTTACACGTGTTAGGTTGAGAACCTTTTTTTTGTTCTATCTCTCTTTGAAAATTGTTTCATGAAATCACTTTATAATTTGATTTTCTTACTGAAATGCATGGTCGTGTCTCGGTGGGGAACTCACTGATAACTCTTAGAATCAAAATTCCAATGGCCTCCCTAATGTTTACATTTATTTTTTCATTTAGTTCAGTCTTTTGTTTTAAATTATTCGAGAGAGAGAGAGAGAGAGTTAAAAACCAGACAGACAGACCAGTCTGTCCTGTTTACATGGGAAAGAATGTGGGTGCAGTGGGTATGTGAGTGAGTGGGTATGTGTGTAGGAACTGTGGTAGCTTGGCAGAGCTGTGCGGGCACCACGTGCTGGGAGTTAATTGACAAAATGTTGTTTGCTGATCCACTCTCCATTCCTCCTGTAAGTGACGCTTATTCCTCATTTATATTGCTTCTAAGCTTTC